AAAAAAAAAAAAAAAACCCAATGCATAGCGAACAAGTCATACTCAAAAACAGTACACGATAATTGAATTCTTCTTGTCCATACATTAAACAAATATCATATTTTCCTCACCTAACATGCTAACACTATTTATTCATTAACACCATCATCATCTTGAGTTCAAAACCATTCAACAAGCCTTTCAACCTCCACAGAAGATAAAAACAAAAAAATCCCCTGCTATTATACTTTTTCTCATCACTGACTACTGAGAAAATATTTTTTTCTTTTCCAATGGAATTATCAAATAGTCATGATCCAACGGCCGATATCAAATTCACCGGCCACCTCCCGGGCGACGCCATAATCGAGATACTTTCACGGCTTCCCGCCAAGGATCTCTGCAAATTCAGGTGCGTTTCCAAATCGTGGCTCGATTTATTAACTCGGGACGAGGAATTCGTAACACGACATATGCAGCGGTCTAAGAAAAAACCAATGTCACTCATCAGAAGATACAACAACAACAACAACAACAACAAGAGCCAAGTAACAGTCGAACTGACCTTAAAAGACGTGCAGGGCAATATAGCCGATAAATTTACTGAAAAAATCGATGGCCCGGTTAACTCATTTGTCACTTATGGCCCCCTAAGTGTCTTTTGCAGCATGCGCTCTTTGTATGTATGCAACCCGAGCATGCACAGAGTCGTACGAGTCCCTTCCGGCCCGAATAATGCCCGTTTTCAGAACATGGGATTCGGCCATCTTCCCAAGAGGAATGAGTACAAGATAGTTAACATGTTCAAGAGTGATAAAATGAAATGTGAGATTTTCTCGTTCAAGAGCGGCGAAAACGTGCAATTGGGTTCTTGGAGAACAATTAAGGATTGCCCGTCTAATAATGCATGGTGGATGGACGGATATCCCGTTTGTGCAAACGGGATTATGTATTGGACGCTTTCGTCCTTAAGCGAAAAAAAAATCCATCTTGTGTCTGAATTTGGAAAACGAAGAATTTAGCAGCATTTGTTATCCGGTGCACGGAAATAGTAAGTATAGTTTCTTGGAGTGTGTCGGGCTAATGGGAGATTTACGTGTGGTGGGATTATCAACCGAGGAGCCAAAAACGATCGATATTTGGGCATCGAAGGATAAGGAGAAGAAAGTTTGGGGGATTGAATGCAGAGTCGATCTTTTTCCTTTGTGTCCTAAGTTTATAATTCCTACTTGTGATGGTGAGTCTGAGGAAATATTGGTGCATATAAGTGAGAAGGATTTGATTTGTTATAATGTAAGGAGTGAGATATGGAGGAGGGTAGATTATTACAAGGGTATGAAGACCTATAATAAACCATGCTTGTACTATGATAGCCTTGTTCCTCTGTAATAAGATGATGTAGCTCATTATGTGAGGATCATTGTTTAGC